CTGAGTGATAAAAAACAGACAAAAGCTTCAGCTGAGTGATAAAAAATCAGACAAAAGCTCAGCTGAGTGATAAAAAATCAGACAAAAGCTTCAGCTGAGTGATAAAAAATCAGACAAAAGCTTCAGCTGAGTGATAAAAACAGACAAAAGCTTCAGCTGAGTGATAAAAACAGACAAAAACTTCAGCTGAGTGATAAAAACAGACAAAAACTTCAGCTGAGTGATAAAAACAGACAAAAACTTCAGCTGAGTGATATGAAATAGATACAAGTTTAACTTGGCTGTGGCGGCCATCTTGAATTGGGTTGGCTCCACAGACGTAGAGGTACATCTAATGATTTGTTTTATTCATGTTCTATTAAAAGACAAACTAAAACATTACCACCCGCCTTCTGACTTTCAGAAACAAGCAGCTAAAATCTGAGACATAAAAGTGCAGGTTTTTATTCTCTTATTCTTGCAAATTTGTCCAAACTGACCAGAGAAACCAGAACATTGTCATTGTGCTGAGAAAAGATGCAGTTTTGTGAAAAAGTCAGGTCAGAAACCATCAAAAGTCATGAAGAAAACTCCTGTTTAACTTTGTTTGAGCGCCGCAGCTATAGATCTGAGAGACGTCTGGAAAATCACGGAGCGAGGCCCGAAGCGGTGACAGCGAACACGCCGGGAGAAGAAATGCAGCAGCTGTCTGAGGCGAAATAAAACCTGCAGGTTTTTATGTGTTGGAGGGAAATAAAATCCACTCTGTAAATCTCCTCTGACCTTTATTCTGTCCCCTTCCATCCGTATGGCTTCCTGCTGTTCGAGGGGCGAAACAAAGAACTGGAGGTTCATCTAAGATGGCTGCCTCAGCCAACTACCTTAAACTGATCCGCAGCCAATAACTATTCAGTCAATTCTCTCTGTTAGCAAAATATCTAATGAGCAACAAGATGGATTTTAATGAAACTTTCAGAAGTTTATCACAGGAGGTTTGTCTACAAAAGATTAACTTTTGGAGTCAGCTGGATTCAAGATGGCCGCCTCGGCTAATAAAACGTATAAACAAGAAAATATAAACAATGTTATAAAAAATATAAGTTTAGTCATTTTATTGGACTAAAATTTGCTGGTGGTAGCTGAGAGTTATACTAAACTCGTACATCAGCTGCTAACATCTGGTTTAAAATTGAAAATGGCTGTTAGCGAAATAACTCAGAGTGGGTTTTAACGAAGCGCTCAGAAAGTCTTTGAAGTTGATCAGTTGTGACTAAATGAGATTTAAATGTCAAAACAGAAGCAGTTTTTACATCCGAGCACAGTTCAGTTCCACTGAAGCCTCATGGATGTTCACCTGTGTGTGTGTGTGTGTGTCTGCAACAGGAAACACTCAGGACCGTGGCCTTTTTGGTTGCGCTGTTGCCAAGACAACAGCAATTAGAAAAGACTAGGTTACTGAGCCGAGAGTGGCTGGTTTCCACGGCAACCAAGGTCAAGATAAAGGCTGCGAGTTTACCCGGTCCTCAGGAGCGAGGCGTTGTGTCGCCGCGCTCAGTCCGGGTCGGCCCCGGGTGCAGAGACGCCACTTCCTGCAGGAGTCTTTTCCAGAAGCGACCCGCTTTGCTTTGTGTCCTGTCGGCGCCCGCTGAGCTGACATCCCATAATTAGCTGATTATCACAGCTTGTTGCCACACAGCAGCTTCTACAAACACTTTAATGACACAACGTGGCCTCCTGATCCACAGAACTGCTCCGGCTTCAGGTCCCATCAGACCAACTCAATGGTTTGTCTTTAAAATAGGGCTGTTGTTCAACTGGCGGCCCGCGGGCCACATCCGGCCCGCCAACTGTTTCATTCATCTCCTAAACCCAAACACCCAGTTTTCTACTTTACTTTAATGCTGCATTTACATCGAACGCGTCGCGCGCCTTCAAAGATCTCAAAACTCCAGATGAGGACAGACATGATGTGAACGTAGAGGAGGAGCCTTTTTTACCGTAGTTTTGATCACTTACCAGACTTCCACACTAACTGTCCTCCAGGCAGTCTTTTTCATTTCATTTCAATATATATA